CAAAATTAACTTCAGACCACTACCTCACCCTCCCATCACATTCATGCAATACTGAAAATTTCTGAGCTTTTTTTTTTTTATTATTTTTTCATCTAAACAACAGGTTTGAGGAAACATGGGAAAAAGAGCAGCACCTTCTAAAAAAACCCTGTTATGTGCTGTATAGGATAAATAGGTGAATTTTTAAAAAAGTTAAGTTTATATATGTACATATACACACATACATCAAACCAAATTAAAAACAAAAAACTCATGAGGGGTCATTTTCAACACAAAAAGAGAGAGGAAAGCCTTATTTCACAGCAAGCAAAAGCACCACAAGTTAAGATTAGAGTGCACAATCACATGTAGTGTAGACACCAAACTAGCCTGGGTCCTGGACGCAGTGTAGCTAAAGCAGCACAATGCTCCACGTGGGCCAACTTATCTTACTCCTTAGAAAAAGGAAGTGCAGAGTCTGCATTCAGGATGGTGTGCTGTGCAGGCACTCCTACAGCCAGCTGCTCTGCCTGCATCAGTTTTGGCAGAGGCCACAAAAAGTAGCAAACTAGTGGGAATAAGAGACCCAAAGCTAAGCTACAGTATTTCCTTAACAGAGGTTTCCGAGTTCCCCCATATCTCCTGGGTGCTCTCTGTAGGTGCTGCCTGCTTGGGTCACAGAGCAGGCAGCTCCTGATTATTTATTATTTGTGCACTGAGGTTCCCATTCTTGCCTACCTGCACCTTTTCCTCTCTCTCTTCTACCCCACAACACTATTCCTATTCCCTCCAGGCTGACACGGTTAACTAAAATTAGGAAGGGGCATATACACCTAATCAAGGCGATATTCAACAACCAAATGAAGCTTTAAAAATAAGTCTTTAAAAAAAACAATTAAAAAAACTGTTCAAGTTCTGCAGACTTCTGGAAGAGTTTTGTCATTTAGCCCAGAGGTCTTTGTCTTCAGGGCCTGCAGGCTAAATTGTCTCAACTGGCAAGAAGCATGCAGTACAAGATAAAATTCTGACTAAAAGAAAAATATAGTAAGGGTTGGGGGAAGCAGAGGCTATAACACAGAAACCCAATACTTCAGTAGCAGTACTTATGCTACACGGTATGCTTTCAAGAGAGTGAATTCCTTTCTGTTGGTGCGAGCTGCCCAGATGAAAAGAGCAGCTGCCATAAACTGCAGAGGTGCCGAGACACAGGCGAGGCAGAAGGACCAGCCAAATTCACCCCTCACATCATCAGGCAGGGGCAGCTTCTTATGGAGCAGCTCAATCCCAGCTACGTAGCAGCCGACCAGGCCCAGTGTACAAAGCCCTGGGGAAGGAAGCAGTAAAGGACAAATGAGCTCATCACTGAAGTGCTCTGCCTGTCACTATGAGCTTCAGGTGGAGGGAGGGTAAACTGGGGGATGGCAGGAGACCTACCTGCTAGGAAATGGAGGACTCCAGTGGCAATGGCCGGGTAAAGGCTGCGACAGGCACAAGCACAGAGCCCAATCAGAGCCCCAAAGCACATGAGGCCAAGGCTGACAAAGGGCAGGAGAAACTGCAATCGCCAAAGATCTGCACGTGAAAGAAACATCAGACAAGTTTGTTGAAAATGTGCTAGAAACAGATCTTCTCCCACCATCTTATACTCCCTTCTACCTGCTGCTACTGCTTCATCAGACTTCATCAAGACATTCTACATTCATAGCTAAAAAGGACCAAAGGCTCCATTGAGGTGTGAGGAACTTCATTTCTTCCCAAATTCCTGTACTGCATTCATGGGCAAAACCTTTACTAACACATCTAAGTTTTACTTTTAAGCTTTGACCTATTGCCTGTGCTGCTGTACAAAAAAACCCCAAAACAATAAAGGCAGAGCAAGATATAGATGCTTTCCTCATTCGTGACTGTATTTGAGAAACATCTTTTTTTACCCTACTTGTTACCTGCCAGAAGTGAAAGACACTTACAAGTCCGATTTAAATCCGTGCCACTGTTGTGATTTCCAGGCTCTATGTACTTTTCCATAAACTGATCGGAGAGAGAAAAACTGATGCAGTTTGTAGTCATATCGGTTTCTGGGGGAAAAAAAAAACCCAAAACAAAAAATCAACATGAGGTGTCTCCCTCCCACCCACCCCCCTTCAATTCCTCCTTTCCCAACCATTTAAGCTGGGAAGCTCCTCAGAGTTCCATCTTAAGGAAAAAATTAGCCCTCAAAACAGATCTGCAGGATGCCTTATCATAATGCAGTCAGCATAATGTAGTTACTACAATGAGGGAGAGAATTCAAACATGCAGAATCTTCAAGCTTACCTGGGCATTCAGAGAACTGTGCCATGCTTGACAGATTGGGAAAGAAACATGGCATATGATGCTCAACTATGTTTTTATACATTCTTGCACTCACAGTTCCTTAACTAAGCTGTGCTTATCTCCGTGTACAGAATGTAGTATTGCACTAAACACTTCATTCAAAAATGGGATAGAAAGGGCTATCTAAAGAACAGAAAATATTTGCTTCTTTACACTAAATTTCTCCCCTTTTACGCCTCAGTTAGATTCTGCTTTAAGAACACTATTGAGCACAGCTGGTTTAAGCATCTTCCAAAATAAGTATTTCCAGGGAGGTGGGAGGTATTTAATGTAATGTTTTTTCTCCAGAAGAAGTGTTTGAAAGTACATTTTTTTAAAGAGGGTTGAAAAATGAAGGGCCTCACGCACACAATATGTGTTCAAAATCTGCTTTGAAGAATTAAAATTATTGCTCACCACACTTTTAGCCCCATTATGAAAAATAATACAAATATTTTATATCCAGCACTATAGCACAAGGAGTACAAAATGTAGGACATCTGTGATGTGAGCAAAATGAATGACTAGCTAAAAGGAGTGAGTGCCCCCCGATAACGTAGTATTTTTATCCCATTGCTAGATCCCAGGACCTCCCCTAAAAAGACAGTGACTGGCAAAGCAACTATAATTGTATCCCCAGTAGGACAGCAGATGCAAAAGAAAATCAAGTTATACCAGACAAAATTTAGATCAAGTATTACATGTCAAATCCAGAGTCTAGCACTAACAGCACAGACCCTTTTGCTTCTTTAAAAATTTGGACTGTTTTTATAAAAAAACCCCACATAAGCTAGAAATAAGCATTCTGAAGGAACAAAGTGGCATGAATATTATGTGAGGAAATTAGCACATACCACCCCAGGCAAGCTATGGAAGTGTTAATTGTTCCGGAGATACCTGGTGGGCTGTACCAGTGAGAGTTTTTGGGTACTGTGATACATCTCCGCCACAATCCAACTGTGCTTGAGCGCATCTGTGTAGGTCTTCTCATCAGCCTCTTCGCTGACAAACTCCTCCCAGATGGTCCTACCAGCTTCACTAACATTCTCAGCTGGGGACAGGGTGTGGTACTCGTACCAAAAGTCAGTGCCAATGGAAGCTGCCATATAGATGGTAGAGATGAGGCTGAGAACACAGGCAATTACTAGTGCTGTAGCAAAACGGTTATCCATCACTGCGCCCTTGCTGCTGTAAGGAAAGACAGGGCCAAGTGAGTAAGTCCTCTGACTGCCAACACAAAGTCATCTTAGCAGTGTCCAACTTGTGACATCATTCCTCTCACACAATGTCCCCTCATTATATGCATGCCTGCCTCTTCCAACATGCTGGAATCAAAGGAACAATGAACAAGTCTACAGTACTAGTTAGTATCCACTGGATCTGTGAGATCAAGTCTTGGACATCACCCATCTCCCAGTCATGCTGCGCTAGCTGCCCTCTCTCCGAGACAGCAACTGGCAGAGCAATAGCAACTCTGTCCGCAAAGCAGATGGCACAGCTCACTGCCATTTGTGATCTTGATTGTAGGGAACTGCACAGAATCCATCCACAATACCCAGGCAGAAGACTTATCTTTCCTTAAGAGATTACCAAGGGTAGAAGTTATTTTTAGCCTGCCATCCCATACGGCTTTCACAGCTTGTGTTTACAGCAAAGATTAAGAACCGGCACAAGCATGTCAAAAAAGCTCTTCCAGACTGTTCACAAAGGCCAGCCATGGCAAGGTGCTGCAATGCCTTTAGGGAAGCAGAGAAATGTATCTAGGCACTAAAGACAGAACATGAAGGAATCACTAAAAGACAAATTTGGAAATTATGACAAATGCTGCAATAATACCACAATACATACTGTGGTGTTTCTGAAGAACTAAAACAATGTGGGGGGTTGGAAGGGAGGGTGCCCTGTTCCATGGGAACAAGATGACAAGAGCTTCCACAACTGAAAGGCCTTCATGCACTGACATGAGGACCTTGCTCTGGCTCCCTGTATTTGGGGTCACTAATGCCCTCCTTTGCAGGGTCATGCTCGCAAACAGCATAAATTCAGGGTCAAAGGAGGCATGGGAAAACACAGATACCACAAGCTCAGGCTCATTACAATACTGTGACTTTAATGAGTAATTGATTGCTAATACATGGAATGTTTTGCAAATAATGCAATACGTCAGAGGACTCTCAGATGCCTGATGTGCTCATGTGTTTTCTGTCCTTGATTAAATTTATGGATTATGATGAATCAGGCTTGGTGCACTCACCAAAGGGGGAAAAAAAAAATAATCAACTGAAGTTAACTCAGCAGCTAGAGCTAGTGTGGTTACATGAGCTACTATCTAATCAGCTCTTGTCTACTGCTTGTTCGGCCTCCCTTCTCCCACATACTTTGACCAAAATATTTTGGTCTAACTTCTTAACAACTGAATGAACCGCAACTGGAAACAGCAAATGCCTTAAAACACAACATTCACAAGGGAAAACATAAGCCCTCAAGTCAGACCTACCAGTAAGAAATTCTGAACTATGAAACAAGGTGCAAATTAAAGCAGGGAGTTTCAAAGGCACTGATATTTGTTGCTAACAATGCCATTCTTATTTCTTTTCCATCCCATCTGCTCCTCTATTTGTTTGAAACTGGCTAACAGGGTTGGGGAGGAGAGATGATGTGTACCCACATCACCCCCTATGCTTAATTTCCATATTCAAGGAGGGATATTACAGAGAGTAGGTCTCATGTAACTGCATCCTTAGCAAGGAGCAAGAATAAAAATTACTTCCAGTGAATCGACATGCAGCACCCATTTAAAATACTGCAAAGTTTGCATACCACAACTAATAATCCACAAGTTGTGAACTCTTACAAGCTAGGATGAACACTGAGAGCGAGAAAACATTGTATCTGGGCTTGTTTACCCAGGAGACAGAATCAAGTCCAGATTTGAAAGTAAACACTCAGTGCAGTGCTTATTTCTTGGTTATGTACTTCCATTCTTCTCTGACATCCTAGCAGCCAGTTCAAGGTACACAGGACATTGTATGAGCAGAATAGGATGAGAGCAAGTTGCTGTACAGGGCTGACCTCACTATTCATCTCCACTGAGTTCACTGAGGGACCCCCTCCCCTTCACAAACTTCTCCCAAATCTCCAGGGCCAAAGCTGTGTCACCCAGCTCCTGCCCAGCTGAGCTCAGAGCTGAACAGATCCTCTGGGAACTCACTCTCAGGGCAAGCTGCAGAACAGGCTGGCAAGCAGGCTGGTCTGGATTTTCCACTAAATTGCAGTCACATTCACTGCAAGAGGAACCTTCTGCAACAGACTCCTGTCTAGAAAGGGCTCTCTCTGGAAGGATGAAACACAAGAACCTATGAGCTCCATCCTCAGAGTAGCATCTGTCGAAAAAGATAAGCACGACATTATTGGGCCACTGGCTTTCTGTCATTGCCTTTAAGTATAAATGCTTACAATAACAAAGTCCTACCAACTTTGTATCTACTATACAGAAAGAAAACAACTGGCTCAAAAATCTAACTTTCAGATACAACATCCCTGCTGCCAGGTGCAGAATACTGATGCTGGAAATAATCCCATCAGAGCACCATTAAAATGCAACCACACACTTCTGGACAGCCTTCTGTGTGCTGGTGTACAGTGGACTTGTCAGAGTTGATGTTGGCTGGCAACCAAGAGCAGTTCACAAGCAAAATGAAGGGTTAAACAACAAACAGTAAATTAAAGGACTGTCCAGTGTTCATTACCCACATGGTAAAAGGAGATAGCTACCTGTTGACAATCAGCCCCTGTAATGCACAGCTCTGGGGACAGGTAGAAAGCATCTGAGGTGGCTACAGTCCCCAAAATCTAGTGGGTGGCTTCGTGGCATTTGTCCCAGAAAAAACACACATGGATTTTCAGTATGGACAAGACAGTATCGGGGCAGGAGCACAGCCCACCATCTCCTGGTAATAAAGTTCTCCTCAATGCTTCTGTCTAACTACAGAAGAGATGAAGAACTCTGCAACACTTTAGGCAAATTTTGAACTAGACGTTCCTCCTGCCACAGTGCAGTACACTCAACTACCCTGCCCATTCAATGTGTATATCCAATGCACCTTCATTTACACTAGACACACCTCCACTTAAAGAAGGCGTCCTTTGCTCTGCTAAAGAGACAACCATCCTTCCAGCCCCAGGCAGAGCTCAGTGGGAGTATTAAGCATTGTCAGTAAGAAATAGTTACCAGAGAAGACCATGAAGAAAGACACTGCATGTTTACGAGATTATGTCACACTTTGCAAAAGGTTCTATGAAGAACAATATGCAGGAGCTTATTTACCAAAAATAACATTATTACTACTGAAGATGACATTAATTATAAATACATAAAGACTGATAGCAAATAGAAATACTTTGTCTTCACAGGCCGTCAGCAAGAACCTTCACCGCTTTTACAAAAGGTTTGTTCATATGGCACTGCCAGCACATTTTACTCTAACACTAGAAGCTATTTCAAACAACTTATGGCCAAAACTAAGCTATGCAATAAATATAAGACAACACAAGGCAGTAGTAAACAGGCAGTCAAGCAGAACTGCTTCACAGGAAACTGTAATTATTTTTGAAAGAAGACATAAAAATTTCAAAGCACCAGCACATAAAAGAGAAAGCAAAGGCCAAACTAGCAGCAACATTCAAAAGAATGACTAGATGAATGCACTTCATAGAAGAGGGAAAAAAAGGGCAAGTCAGTAGAGCTGAAAAAGAAAAAACACAGAACAGCACAAAAGCAAGTATTCTGGCAAAAAATCAACTGTAAGACTAGAGAATGGATAAGCATTTTAAGAAGTTACTGGACCACAACAGAAGAGAATACAAAAAGATGCATATTTTTATCTTGTTACAGCAATCACTCCCTTCAGTCAACAGCAGGCCACCACGTTTAAGAAACTTCTACCTGACGTCACACAAGACTAAGGCTCCGTTTGCTGGCATTTTCTCAGAAAACACACTTGTAATCTGACTGCTCTTTGGGAAAGCTGAATAGGCAGAAGGCCTGAAAGAAGGTGTAAATGCGGGGAGAGGGCTGGCAACACTACCAAACAGGATCCTCCTTTTAATACTCAGGGTCACAGAGGGTTAGGGTAGAGTGCTACCACACACTTTTTTACCTTCAGAGGTCCTCAGAGTCCCTCAGGACACACAGGGCTCCAGTGATTCCAGGTCAGTTTAGAGACACAATGTTGTTTGTGTCTTGTGGTAAGCAGAGAGCATGAAATGCAAACTTCCCAGCTGCCCTAACTGTTCCATTCATTCAGCCTCCTCAACACCACCAGTTCACCAAAACGGATCTAGAAGTAGAAAGCAAACCAAATAGCCTGACATCATCATTTCATTTTGAAATTATTGAACAGAAATCTCCCAGCCCTACTCATTAAGAAAAAAAATAATGTTAAAAAGTGTGGGAAAAAAACGGCTGCAGGGCATCAGCACCATGTCCCACCGTGACAACCCAGCCCAGGGGCAGACAGGCAGCGCCGGCGGCCGCGGGGAACCTGACGGGATGGATG